CATCGACCCCGTGAGCTTAGGTTGACGTCTCTTCTGCATTCCTGCCAGCAATACGGTAAACGTGCTTGGAGGAATTTTCATGCATTTGATCTATTGAGCGTATTATGACGTATATCCTGCGATCAAGTTAGATATCTTCGGCACGGGTTCTCCCGAAAACTTAAAAAAAAACCCCATCGTCACAATCCCAGAAAAATTTGGAAAATCATTTGCGCATGCGCAGTGCGACCAAAACAAACAGTGCGAATGCGTGTTTAAAAAAATCCCAAAGCAGCCTCGTCCGAAAAATTTTAAGACCGGTCGCAAGAAGTTCGGTACCCAAATGCAGGAGTTCCCGATGAAACAAAAAAAAAACAGTGTAAATGCGTGGATGGGTGCGTGGGTGGGCTAAACTCGAAAAAAACCCCATAGTAACAATCCCCTAAAAATTTGGAAAATTTTGAGCCAAGTTGCACGAAGATCGGCCCACAAATGCGGGAGGAGTTCGCGGTCAGACAGACAGACACCCGGTGCTCCTCCGTCATTGTTTCTCCAGTTTTGTCCTCTCCATCCTCCACTTCTCCATCCTCTTCCACCCCAAACTCCTTCTCCCTCACTGTTTCTCCAGTTTTGTCTTGTTTTATAAAAACTACAGAACATATATTCCAAAACGTGATAAAAATCAATAATTTCAGAATATAAATGATGTTAAAAATAAAACTCTCATACTTTTTGTTTCTCTCCTTCAAATTTCTTCCTCCTCTTTTTCTACGTTGAAATTCTTCGTCAATTTGTGGCGTGAGCCTAAGCTCACGGGGTCGATGGCAGGATCGTAAGAGAGGCGGTGGATGCCGCTCTGTGATCGATTGAAACTTTTTAACGTTTCTTCTTTTTTCTTAGTTATAATTCTTCGTCAATTTGTGGCGTGAGTCTAAGCTCACGGGGTCGATGGCAGGATCGTAAGAGAGGCGGTGGATGCCGCTCTGTGATCGATTGAAACTTTTTAACGTTTCTTCTTTTTTCTTAGTTATAATATGATCTTTTTGCTTTCGACGACTTTAATACATATGTCGCGCATGCGCAGTCCGCATGCGCAAAGGATCATTTGCGCATGCGCAGTCCGACCAAAACAAACAGTGCGAACGCGTGGTTAAAGAAAACCGCTTAGCAGCCTCCCCCGTAAAATTTCAAGCCCGGTCGCAAGAAGATCGGTCCACAAATGCAGGAGGAGTTCCCGGTGAAACAAAAAAAAAACACTTCGAATGCGTGGGTGGGTGCGCGGGTGGGCAAAACTCGAAAAAAACCCCATAGTAACAATCCCCGAAAAATTTGGAAAATTTTGAGACCAGTTGCAGGAAGATCGGTCCACAAATGCAGGAGGAGTTCGCGGTCAGACAGACAGACAGACACCCGGTGCTTATATATATATATAGATAGGGCAGAAGGTTTACTGTGCAAGAAAAGATACTTGCACTATCATTGTATAAACAAAGTTGTAGTGCTTATACATTCCTACGACAATTATTCACCTTACCAAGCAGCACAAGTTTAAAACTTTTGTTGCAAAAAGTTCCATTACATGCAGGTATAAATAAAGTTATATTTTCACATCTGTTCCATCAGCAATCATCGTTAATAGATGTAAACGAGAGAATGTGTGTATTAATATGGGATGAAATATCCTTGCAACCTCAGTTGCAATATGATAAAATAAATGATAAAATCGTTGGTTTCGAAGATTGGGGACACAAACGAACGCAACAAATAGCTGATCATGCGCTTGTATTTATGCTTAGAGGTATAAAATCTTCTTGGAAGATACCTTTATCATATAATTTTTGTAAAAGCCAAACTAAAAATACACAATTAATACGTTGCATTAAAGAAATTGTTAAAGAAATTGCACAAGCTGAGTTCACAGTTGTTGCTATAATATGCGATCAAGGGTCCTCAAACGTGTCTGCACTGAACGAATTGTTAAGGAATACGAAAGATATATTGGCTTTCAGGCTTTCGCGGCTGTTGTCTTCTTTAGTCTTCATGGCTTCCGGATGGTTGCCGCGTCCGTTTGCAGTGTGGTGCCGACGTTTCGCAGGCGTTGCAGTCTGCTTCATCAGGGCTGGGAGACTCTGATACTGAGCTCCCTCGCGTTGCGCTCGTCCTTTTATACTCGTTCTTGGGGGGAAGGGAGGGGGTAGTCAGGGGGGGGCGTGGTCAGAGGGAGGGGAGTCAGCCAATCCCGGCACCACACTGCAAACGGACGCGGCAACCATCCGGAAGCCATGAAGACTAACGAAAGATATATGTTTAAAGAATAACGAAGAATTTGGTAAGTAAAGGTCACAATAGAAGATGTTAGACATGTTGATAAAATAGGTACTTTACATTTAAGTATACATTCATTTCAGAGGATGAGAGATCTTATCTTTTAAGATAGTTGAATTGTATTATATATCGAATATTCAAAGAGTGGCATATCATATTGTATTGTAATATATAGATATCATGTATTATAATGTTATTAAGAGGATCCCTCACCTGTGATGTGGCACACCATCAGAGGCAATCAGAGGTGAGGGATCCTCTTAAAGAAATTATTTTTCAGATGACACGATTACTCTACATAATCAAAAAATAATTGTGTTGTACGATCCTCCACACCTAATAAAAGGAATACGAAATAATTTTCTTGTTAAAGATATTGAAATCAATATCAAATCTTCAAGTACCAGAGAGCGTGCTTCTTGGGACGTCCTTGAAACTGCTTACCAACTTGACATTCACAGTAACACATTAAATCGACAGCTAAAGAAATTGACAGATGAGCATATAATAAGAAGTAAAATAAAAAAAATGAAAGTTAAGCTGGCAACGCAAGTTTTTAGTGCTACTTTGTCAGCATTTATTGAATATAATAGTCGGATAAAAGGTAATTGTTTAAAATAAAATAATTTTTAATGTAACAACAAAAACTTTGAAGGACAAAAATCTTGAAATATGTTTTTATTCAAGGATTCGTTAATACGAATATTGGACCACTACAAATACCAGAAGAAGAAGGACTTGCAACAGCAAAAGTCTTGGACTTTTTCAATAAATTATTTGATTCCATAAATGGACTTCAACTTCGGTCTGATACACCATTGCGAGTTGCTGTGAAAGAAAATAGTAAACATCATTCTTTCTGGTACGATGCCATCAAATTTTTGGAAAACATGCGATTTATACATAAAACGACAAAAAAACCGATGTCTGTTCCATCGTTAAAGCATTGGATAACAACTATTAAAGGCTTTCAAAAATTATGGGCAACTGTGAACAAAGCGGGAATGAAATATTTAAAAACACGTTATATAAATCAAGATCCATTAGAAAATTTCTTTGGAATGATAAGAAGTCACAATAATCGTAATATTAATCCCACATGTGCAAATTTTGAATCTTCTTTTAAAACATTATTGATAAACAATTTAACAAGTAAACGTACTGTAGGTGGTAATTGTGAACTTGATAGCGATGGAAAAGCTTTATTTTCATTGCAACACTTTGTTGAAAGTAGTGTTGAAATGTTACATACCTCATCAGATACAAATTTAGTAGATGAAGTAGCAGAAATTGATAATACATCTGTATCAATGCAAAATAAAGATGTACGTGACACTTATACTGATAATCACAAAAATGTTATTAAAAAGTTATCATGTATGCAACCTTTTAATAGTTGTTTGTCTTGCAAAGAAGCTATATTTTCAAAAAACATGGAATTTGCTGTAGTTACTGCTTACACTATACATATGTAAGAATAATATGTCGTCTGTATGTTTTCGTACGCATTTATCAAAAAAATTAAGTGTCCTTATTAAAGAAGTTGATTTTTGATATTTTAATTGTGTACAACATAAAGAAGATTTTTATAACAGTTTTGCACAAATAATAATAGAAC